CTGTTGTGAGCGGGTCGCAATCTGAAGCTATAAATAGCAGCAAACAAAAGAGAACTTTCCAAAATACTGTGTTTGGCTACGAGGCTCTTCGGCTGTAGTCACGATAATCGATTACCGGTACTTGTCTTGAACCGGAGGTAGATCTAGCAGAACTTTCGATTATCTCTTTCTCCATAGTCTATTCTCAAATACAAATATATGTAATTAGTTTGTTACGGAACTAAATGTTGAACCAAAATTAAGCTTGATTGATATCTTGGTTCCTTTTTACAAAGCTTATATCAATTCACTTCGTCTGTCTAGTAAAAAGTTTGTACATGTTATTTCTCCGACACACAATTTCGGATCTAGCAGACATTTTGCGTAATTGTTTCTTTTACCAGACAACAAAAAAAACCCAATTAGTTTATTAACTATTGGTAATTAATTATTTTGTTTGGTATCTCGAATAAGGGAAAGAATGGCTGCCTGGTCGTGCGGTTTGCTCGCTGGACTGTCGTTCGGATTTATCGATGGTCGAGGGTTCAAATCCTGCCCGCTCCCATCCCCCGTCGTCCTGCGGGAGGTTTGGACTAGGAAGTAAACTATCTTCAACTCTGAAGGAACATCCGAAACATGTAAAACATTTACAAACAAGGGAAAGAAACTGTACTTGATTGAATTGGTGGTATAAGGTGAATTAGTCCCCTTTATAAGTTGCCGCTTTAAAGTTAGTTTCAAGCAAACAATGCATAACTATAAAATCTTCTATAATTATAACCAGCTCACTAACAGAGTGGTTAGAATGTCGGCTTGAGGAGGCTTAAGTCATGAGATCGAATGCAGATCAATCATCTTTTTTTTTTAAGTGCTTTTAAAAATCGATAGCGGTAAAATCACCCAAACATCCCCTTCTTTCTCCCCCCTCCCCTTTTTTCCATTTTTAAAACTGGTCCAGGTAAGTGATAGGATCATAGCGTATTGAGAAAGCTAAAACAATGAAATTGCGCTAGACAGAAACAATTGGTAAAACTATATTTCTAATCCGAAGTAACTGATACAACTGCATTCCATAAAAGCTTTGTAGTTGTTGTTTTAAAAGTATTTTTTAAAATACTCTATTCAAGTCACAGTTTCGCGGATCTAACGATTTGCCTAGAAATGTAACAGTTGATGTATGTCGCTGAGAAAAGAATCACTAGCTCGTTGGCCCCACGGGGAAACCCTAGTTTGACAGTTATAATTTTTCAAAGCTAAAAAAAAAAAAAGAAATTTAAATTTGGCTAGAGAACATGGTCAAGATCTAGATCCAACATCGGTTTTGAAAGGAAATTTTGGAAAGGACTATCGCGTTCGGGAATTTTCGAATGTAGGCTTTATTGATTCAAGAGTTTGATAAATTAATGTTCAGGAAAATTTGGCGCATTGTCTTCTAAGTCTAGATCCGAAGGGTTTATATCTTTGGAATATTATAAAGTGTAGTAGATTTATACATTCGCTTAACAAGATTTCTTTCTCCGGGGGGGGGGGGGGGGAGGAGGGGAAAAAGGGGCGGGGTAAAATAGTTCCATTGTTTTTTTTTAATCTTACATGCATTCATTATTAAGAGAAAAACAATTGCTCTATAAGTTGTTTAAAAGAGGTATTGTCTTTTTAAAAAAGTATTTTGAATGTTTTTTTTTCCTTTTAAATTTTTTTTTTTATGAAAGAGGGATTCGGGAAAGATAGTGTTTCAGTTAAACACAAATATCAAAATGAATCAGTGGCGTAGCTAGGGTATGCATAGTGTGGGAGCTCCTCACACACACACACACACAAATAAAACAGCGAAAAGATGTTTTTTTAACGAACTAATGTGTAGTCATCGTTAATTTGCAACAACAAAAAAAAACATGTATGATACTACAATTAAACATTACTTACTTTCTTGCTCATTAAACTATATAATTTTATTGAAATGTATTTTTTTTCTATAAATACCGTAGGCATAGAGTGGCATAGACATAAATAAATATATATATATATGTCTATGACCGTAGGTAAATCTTTTTAAAAAATTCGCTCGCATATAAATAAATGCAAATAAAGACAACATTTAGAACTGAATCATATATCCGATATCTTTTTTTTAAAGTAAATTTCATGATCTCAAACAGGGCCTTGTTTATAAAGTTTAAAGGCGTCTTAAGCACATACTTTCGGCAATACTGACTTCAGCGATGTCGTCCCGACTAGAAATTAAGAATTAATAATGTTTTTAATTTCCGTATCAGTGCGCAGTTTCGAATTGACGATCCTTGTTTTTGAAGGTAGACTTACGTGGCATTTATATCAGCTAATACAGTGGCCAAAAACCCAAGGTAGGGGAGAAAATGAAGGCTGCATAGCAACTAACAATGCGCCTGCTTCAGATCTAGTAGAAGAGTTTTCATCTGTACTATTCAATGTCTCTAGAGTTTCTATAATTCGTGAAAATAATCCTTTTAACCATCTTGACGTCTTCTATTCTGGCGCTCCATTTGGTTTTGCGAGTGGGATATAAGGCAAAGGGTGCCCCCGTAAGACTTGGCGAGTCAGAGCTGGAAGAGCTGGACAAGTTCACTTACCTTGGCAGCATCATAACAAAAAATGGGGATGCCTACCATGATGTAGCGTGCCGAATATCTTAGCATTGTCTTGTTCAGTTAGGTAAGGTCACAATAGTAAGCTACACTCGTTCTTACAAGGCGAACATGCGCCATCTTCTATGATCTTGGGTTTGCCTAGTGTAGTGTGGTTTCTCATTGTTTACTTATGGGTAATTTGCGCTGTATGATAGACCCTATTGCTAAAAATCTATCCGGCTCTTTGCAAACACTAGACTAAATGGCACAAAGAACTTGACAAGTCAGGTTCCAATAACGTGATTACTTTCTTTATTGAGTGTAATAATTAAAAGCCGAATACTGCACTACTGCACTACTGCACTTCTCCTGACAAGGCCGGCCTTACAAATTGCGGGGCCCAATTTAATGGATGCTTGCGATGTACATTTTTTTAAAAACAATAACAACTATTATAATTAATTAGATCACTATAATTGTGTGTATCAACATTTGTTATAGAACATATATAGGAAGCAATAAATGCAATGGGTAAATTAAAGTTACGTCAATCGTACAATACCATTGGCCTCCTTCAGTCGTAGAACGACTATGGTTCATCTTGCAATTGCACACTTCCTCTTGTAGCTGTGGAGCCCTATTTTGGAGAGACACTCCCGTCCACAAATATCGCAAGTTAAGGTGGCTTTTGCTTCGGTGGTAGATGAGCTGGCCATATTTCGAATCGTCCGTTTTTCTTCCAGGGCTGAGGCCCATGTTCTTTCACTATCCATAGCTTTCTTGGTCACTGTCTCTCTCCAACTGGTGCTTTTTAGAGCTATGTTTTCACAATGGTCAGTATTGATGTTCACTGATTTGAGGTCCCGTTTTATTACATCTATGTAACGGAGGTTGGGGCGACCGGTTTTTCTTGAGCCAGTCGTGAGTTGTCCATAGATGATGACTTTCGGGATGCCTTTGTCCTCCATCCAGCGAACATGTCCAAGCCAGCGCAAGCGGCCTTGTCTGAGGGTTGTAAAGATGCTGGGAATACCTGTTCGTGCAAGGATCGCAGTATTGCACACTTTTTCTTTCCAAGTGATTTTCAAGATCCTACGGAGACATCGCAAATGTACGATACACTAAATATGTTAATCCTTTAAGGTCTACATCTATAAAAGCATGTGACAAGAGCCACGACTGATACTGACATGCTGAATGTAAATTGCGGGGCCATTGTCAGGTCGGGGCCCAATTTGGGGCAAGGCCGACCCTGTCTACTGAACAGGACCTGAACACTCTGGAAGCGCCAGGGACTTGTCACCAGTTCTTTCTCAACGGCTGATCTACAAGTGCAATGTTCACACCCAGCACTTTCAAGTCCTTCCCTCGTTAAGTTTGACCGCTCGCAGCACGCTGTCCTATCTCACCTGGCCACCTCTACCGAATCGCCAGTTCTGATATACCAATATCATAAAGCAAAACCATGTTGCCACTTAAAACACTGCACTCTCCCACAATCCCTCTGTCAAAGTCAATCGCCCATTATACAGAAGTTTTTGTTTCAGTTTTGCGAGACTTTGGGTGCGCCCAATACATTCACTTATTATATCTATATAGATAAACAGACATGCACATCAAGGCCTGTATCAGAAACAGTCGCTTCCCCTACTTAATCTTCCGCTTATTGATTCCCCCCACCCGTTTTTTTTTTGTGACGGAGACTCGCATATTCTAGAATATTCTGCTTAAGCCTCGATTTTTATTTTCGATCTAGTTATGGTTTAACACCAGGCTCGAAGCGTTCACAGGAAAGATGGGATACAAGTTAAGTACTGCTTCCTATCAAAGACGTCATTTGTTATTTATAACTTGAATTGATTTCATTTTTAATATTCATCTAGTCCTGCACTTATTTATAGCTTAGAATAGATTGACATTTATAAATAGAAGATATACTAATGCGACGAAATGGGCCATCATCAGTATCCAAAGATATTGAGAGAATGCAGACAGCAGCATTACATGTAGATGTGAGATAGAGGAAGTGGAAGAGAAGAGAGAGGGAGAAACAAGGATAAAGAGAGAGAGAGAGATAGAAAGAAAGGGAGATAGGTGAGAAATGGAATAATTGTGCAAAGTTTCAACTTGATCCAAGAATGGGTGTGAGAGAAATAACCCTATTCAAATGTGTTACCAGAGTAAGTTGATATAAGCTTTGTAAAAAGCTAAATTAAAATCTTTTGGGTCATGTGGAAATGATTATGGAATCCAGGTCACCCTGAGTGATAAAGAATATTTACTGATCAGTCTATTTTGTCAGTATTTCAATTATGCTAATGTATTACCAGACCAGACACAAAGTCACAAGACAGCAGTAATGTTTTAATATAGAGAATAGTATCACCACATACAAATGTTGGCAGTGACCAAATCATGAGAATTATCTAATCTTTAGAAAACACACACACACATTCATTTAGAAAACACACACACATTCAACTAAATAAAAACAACTAGACTAAATAGCTAAATGAGAGTTGATAGTATATACATTCTTTTATTTTACATTAAAGTTCTTAGAAATCACATGAAACAACAAATAAAAAATCAACATAATGGACGGGCCTGATTCTTGGTAGGCAAGCATATCTACAACATTTACAAATATATATATGTCAGGGGTGAAACCATGATAGTGGAATAAGTGAATACAGAGCAGGTTGAATTTTAAAAAAAAAAAGGTATAAGTTTACTATTAGTATTTATGACAAGGTAAAAAGAAAAAAACTATTAAGGGATGTATAGATGTCCCTAGTCCTTACAACTCTACTAACAAATCTATGACCATTCTATAGAGAGATATGCAACGGAAGGCATTTACCAGGTTATCAACACTAAGTTTATAAGGTTGTCAATCACATTAACCCTGACATTTATATTCGTAAGATTTTCAAGTACAATTATGGCAAAGTTTAAAAAACAAAAACCTAAAAATATCATGCCTAAGAAACAAACTATTAAATGTAGAAAATAATAATGTCTTAACTTACATGTACAAGGTGCTAACATTTACATGTACAAGGTGCTAACATTTCCTATGTGTACATGTTCCTGACTTATCTTACATGTACAAGGTGCTAACATGTCCTACATGTCCAAGGTCTTAGCATATCTGACATGTACATGATGTAAACATCTTACATGTACATGGGTTCTTACATAACCTACATGTACATGGTGCTTACATATCCTGATATATCCTGCATGTACATTGTGCTTACATATCCTGACATATCCTACATGTACATGGTGCTAACATATCCTAATGTAAATGGTGCTAACATATCCTAACATAGTCTAAATGTACATGGTGACTACGTACCACACTTTATGTGGTGCTATCAGATCATACACCTGTCTGGTGCTATCAGATCATACACATTCCTGGCTATCTGATCATACACATGCCTAGCTATCAGATCATACACATTCCTGGCTATCATATAATGCACATTCCTGGCTATCAGATCAGACACATTCCTAGCTATCAGATCATAAACATTCCTAGCTATCAGATCATACACATTCATGGCTATCAGATCATACACATTCATGGCTATCAGATCATACACATGTCTGCCACTATCAAAAAAAACAACATAGCGTCTTGCTTTAGAACAAGCTTACAAATATTTATATATGGCACTTACAACACAATATCATTCAAACTAGTGACAGTTTTATTTACTCAACCAGAGGATTGCCTGCTAACTATATTCATTGATGTGAGAAACAAATTTCTTGACAAATGATTTACACGCATGGAAACATGAAAGTGAAAAGGCATGTTTTCGAGAAGCATCTTCTTTAAAAATGATTATTTATAGTGAAATGAGCAAACAATTTAATTATGTTTCCATAAAAAAAAAATACCTATGTTAACAATCTTACCAACACAAAATCATTTTTTATTTAAGATTTGTCTTTTAATATTGGGATCAAAACCTAGAAAGACTTCATAGAAATGAAACCAAAAGGGATGAGAACAAAATCAAATGAAATGATACTTGCAGAATTTTTGGAAAAATCAGCTGCAGACTCAACTCTTTCTCTCTGTAATATTTATCACATTCTGGTGGAATCAGCGCTGGTATCGTCAGTTAGGAGAGAAAGAGTTAAGCAATAAGACAAATGCTTTTAAAAGAGAGAAAAAGCTTAAAAGAAGTCTAAATCATGAATGGTTGACTTGACCAAATCATTAAATTAAAAAGACAAACAAATATATACTCTGTTACAAAGAATTGCCAATTAGTTTAACTTGGAAGAGAGCAGATCATTATCAGGAAGATAGAAATAGTAAATGCATGTCACTAACTTGTCTGGGGAGCAGTTCAGAAAATGTCCAGCATGCAGTTCTAGAATGTTTGCTGTAGTAACATCCCTCTCAAAGCAAATAGTTTTAAGGTAACACAGATGGCAAGTAACATTCATACTAGCAAATACAGAAGTTAAGTAAACATGATGGTGTTATTTTTTTAAGTATTACACTGACCATTGAACTACTTTTCTAAACCATGTTTGATTCTAGATGCAAAAATTATAGTAACAAAAAAGAGAGAGTGTGGCTATAGATCTTAACACATATAAAACATATTTTAAAGGTTATTTATTTCTAGCTAACATTACTTTTGTAAATTTACATATGAAAAAAAAATCTTAAAGGTCTATAAAAAAAAGTTTTGCATAGACCATTATATCACAAAAAAATATATTTCTTTAAGTACTTGAACAAGACATCAATATATATCTTCAAAACCATTTTCCAAAAAAGAGAGAATGTGGCTATAGATCTTAACAAAATATATCTATAAAACCTATTTTAAAGGTTATTTCTAGCTAACATTACTTTTTTAAAATTACATATGAAAAAAAATCTTAATTAAAGGTCTATAAAAAAAAAGGTTTTGCATAGATATTAAGACCATTATATCACAAAAAAATATATTTCTTCAAGTACTTTAACAAAGACATCAATATATATCTTCAAAACCATTTTCCAAGGCAGTTTCCATTTTGCACACATCATTCACACAAGCCCACTGAGCATGATGTAATGAAGTATTCAAAGCAGAAGTACCTCCTTTTTTCTAACAACTTTTGTCCGAGTTCTATCACTGATAATACAAATTTCAACAAATACTACACAATGGACTTGTACTTGCAGGCAAACATGACCCACGTCGCACAAGCAGACTCTGGGTAGGCGTAGACCTTGACCCTGACACCCAGCTTTACCTGATCACCTCGGCAGTTGATTATTTCATCACAAACTGGTGACCTGCATAGTAATAATAAATATTTTTTAAAAATGTATACATTCTGTAAAAAAATTGAACAAATTATTATGTTAATGTTTACATATAATAGAGAACATTCAATAGCTTGGTGAGCAAACTAGAAAGTTAGAAAAAATGTACAGCTTTTTCATGAAATTTTGTCTTTATTTAAAATCTAAGTAATATCAAAAAGAAAAAAAAATTTAACTCTATAAATGAGGGAGTCTAATTATTTAGAGAAAAACATTCAAGCTAATCAATATTATTATGTCTTATTTAAAAGCATAGCTTTAAAATTCAAAATAATTCTATTATATTTTTTATTGTTAATTATTCTTAAATTAGAAAAAAAAAATATTATGTAGTATTTTCAATCTGGCTTGACCTTTTTTTAAAATGATAAAATTATAAATGAACAATAAATTTCCAATTTTTGTGTTCCAGGTTCTCCGGTGCATAATCATTACATTTGTTATTACTTACACAATACATTGAACATCGAACAGGAAGATCAAGCCTATCTATTTATAGTACACTAATTGTAACACCTAAGTGCCACATTAAGATCACCAACTCCCCCCTCCACCTTATCACCTAACACAACTTGCAGCTTATAAGAAAAAGTTGAGCAATACTTGCTGCACATTGCTTGACATTTAAGTCAGATTGATCCAGTGAAAGCTGGGAACCATAAGGCCAAAGGGTCAAGCTGATAAGTATGCAGAAATACCAATCCCAGGCTGCTACAGTGATCCATAATTGTTTCAGCCCCAACCAAGGGTAGACAAGGTAATTGAATTTCCCCTTACTTAGAAAAGTACTTTGACAAAAAATAAAACCTCAGGAAGAAATAGACCATCAGGGAGAAACACTGAAGAGTAATTAAGAGCCTGCACTGCAAAGCACTTATTTATAGCAGTGTCACTAGTACCATACCATTAACTACCAGCTTTGTTCGATGGCTCACAATTGGAAACTGACAGGGTATAGGGATAATGACATGTATAAAGAGTATCTTCTGTCTCTGGTTGAAATGTGTGATATAACAGTTATCATTAAGAAATACGAAGTATTATGAAGAAATTGAAAAAAATAATAATAATTACAAATGTAAACTTAAAAGAAGAAGATTACAAATAGAGAAGGAGACTATATCCATGGGCTTTAACTATAAATGTCTTCCCACAAATTGCCATAAGCTTTTCACAGTACTTTCTTTTTTTCACTCAAGTAAGTTTCATTATGTCTTCCTTGTGTCAGGGGAGGCAATAGAAATGGGTTGTATTCCCTTTATTGTTCAAGATTGAGTGTAATTCAATATGAATAATTGGCTTACTCCAAAAAAAAGAAATAATAATTAAGGATAAGAAATAACATTGTTGTACCAAGGAAAGAAATACTTGTAGAAGCCTGGTCGATAAAAGTGTTTTACCTGAGACAGGTTACAAAGGCCTTCCTGGCATTTCTGTGAGAAAACTGGATAGGGTAGCCTTTGAAAGTTTGGCCTTCTGGCACTGATAGTCTTACAGCGTCCTGGAACTCCTCATTGCCTGCTGTAATACCTGGAGGTCAAAATAAAAGACAAAAACAAAAACAAACAAACTTTTTTTACTGATTTAAATCTGACAACTACTGGAGAGGCAGAGAGTTAATGTTTCTCTCCCTTTAACCCTAAAGTCAGTCAATGACAGTGAATATTGCTGTCTTTGTTGATGAGCTTCTTTCTACTTGTAGCTCAATGAAAAAAAACATTCCAAAGCTGCAAAAAATCTGAAATAACTTCTCCCTTACCAATTTCCATTATTTTGCTAATAAACAACAAATCGTGATCTAGAGTTCACCTGGTGTAGTGTGGTTTCTCATATTTTACTTGTGGGTAATTTTCGCTGTGTGATAGACCCTATTGCTAAGAATCTAGGCGAAATGGCAAACACTAGACTAAATGGCACAAAGAACTTGACAAGTGATAACGTGATACTTTCTTTATTGTGTGTAATAAATTAAAAGCCGAATACTGCACTATTTGTAGCTCAATGAAAAACATTCCAAAACTGCAAAATCTGAAATAACTTCTCCTTTACCAATTTCCATTATTTGCTAATAAACAAACAATTAAATTGAGAGGGGCAGGGAATAGGAAAAAGTTGAACAAAAAATTAAATCAGTCTTCTCGTTAAACAAAATGATTCATTAACGAAAATTCAGTTTGGAACCATTAACTTTCATTGATGGCATGGCACTCCCAAGAGCTTCATGTGCGTACCTGTAAGACGTTCTGTTTCATATGCAGCCAAAGCTGGCGTGAGGATGTAGCTGAGCTGGTCGTCCCAAGATGTTGTTAAACCCTGATCCTAGAAAAAAAAATCAGTTCATTATTACTTAAGCATTGTTCAAAGGCAGTTAGTAAATGTTTCCCTTTCAGACCTTGCTGGGCAGATGATGTTAAGGTTTTGCAGGAAGAAACCTTGAACCATTTTAAATAAGTGCTAGTCAATATGAAAGAGTTGTGACAATGTTGTAGCTAGCAGTAGAGGCTCTAACCTTTTATGTTCTATGACAATTAGTGATGCCAAAAAAGCTAAATGAATGACAAAAACAGACTCACCCTTCTCCATTATAAATAAATAAAATAGTTTAGGAAAGTAGATATATAACGATAGAACTGTAACTCATCAAAGTTTAACTTATAAAATGACGTTTTAAGGCACCCAAAAAGTTGTGACCTACCTAGCTTAATGTGAATGGCACAATTGAGATTTCTGTGTGTGCCTAGGTATAAATCCCAAGGTTTAGTTCTACTGCTACTATACCAAAAAATAAAAACTTGAGCTATTTGTTTGTTTTGTTTTTAACGAGTTAAAACTTGCCCTGTCCAGTCCATAAAAATGTGATATCTTGAGCTCTGAGTATAATAATTGAGTTCAGGTGAGCGTTGTACACAATTCCTGCCTAGTGTTCAATCACACATTGTTTTCCAATGTTTCTGGATATCATCGTGAGACTTTTTTTTTTTGGGGAGGGGGGGGGGGGGTTACTTTGTTAATAAAAGCCTTGTCTACCATCATCTCTAAATTTTATCTTACCACTAGAGTGTCACTGTTTCAAATATTT